CTTTGGTTAGCCAAGCGCTGCATTTCCAACTGTGCTGCACCGCTGGCCCGCTGCTCGCGTTGAGTGCTCCAAATTACTACCAAATGGCATCGGAACCCCATAGGGCAGCACTGATTAGCAGGCTAAATATGGGCAAGTGTGTGTGTGTTTGTGTGTGAATGTAATAAACATAAATGCATATGAGTTGAAAGCTTATGTGCACGTTTTGTTTGAAATATGAGCACCTAAGTGACTTTAACTCAGGAACAGAGATAGAAGCAGAGACACAGAGACAGGTAGAGAACGAGAGAGAGAGAGAGCGAGAGAGCGAGAGAGAGGAGGCACTGTCACTGGCGCCTTTGCAGTGCTTCCCATGAACTTTGGAGAGCAGAATGCAACTCCCACGCTATAAAGCAGCTCATTTAGTGCATTTGTCACGTCTTTGTTGTTGGTTCTGCTGCAGTTATTTACGAGCGCGAAGCGTGTTGTGTGTTTTTTTGTGGTGCTGCTTAGAATTATGATGCTTCCAGGAGCAGACAAACAAAAAATAAGAGACAAAAGACAGCAGCATGACGACAGCAACTGATATATATTTACGACTATAGATACCTACATATATCGCATTCAATTGAGTTAACGCAGTTTCCTCCTCCTGCTCGTAAGCGAATGTTTTTGCAAATTGTCAGTTACTACTGTGCAATCGAGCACAACAATGGCAGCAGCAACAATCGCTGCAGCAACAGCAACACTTATGAGCTTCTCCAGAGCCCTCTCCAACTGATTTGCTAAACAATTACGAGTACGCATACGCGCTCTGGTGCAGTGCAGCAAATAGGCTGTACAAGCACTTAAGATAAAGATCTTAATAGAATTGCAAGGCGCATTGCAATACAAATACAAATACGTAAAGAGCTTGAGGAAAAAGCGAAAATAAAAATAAAAAGAGAAGAAAATAACAATAATAAAAGCAGTGGAGCCCAGCTAGTTGCTGTTGTTGTCGGAGAGCTGAGACCTAATGATATTTATCAGCGATTTATACAATTTCCATGGGGCATCATCATATTTACAAGTTAATATTTGCGCTAACAAGATTTGCCTGGGCCGCACAATGCCAGCCACAAAGCCGGCGATCAGCCAGCCAATGGCTTGTCTCGGCCGTCTCATGCCAGGAATCCCACACAAAAGGATCGCATCTACGGCAATGGCATCTCTACGGGCGAGAGAGCGACATGAGTAGACAAGCAAAATGCTTGTTAAGGCACAAAACATGTAGATTTCATTAAAGATATCGCAACTGAGACTGAGACTGAGACTTCGACTGTGACTGCAGTTGCTGCTAAAGGGTGCAGCGGACGCAGGGCCACTTTGCATGCAGCAGCAGCAGCAGCCAGCGGATGTGGTTGGGTTTAGCTGCGCTGGTGCCATATGCCCTGTGAGCTGGCCATTTGTGATGCGTAAATGAAGTGCAAGACGTGACGCTCCAATACGAGTTCTAATGAAGGACACGACGGCGACGGCGACTGCCAGCTGTGGCCTAATAGTTGAGGTAATAAAATGGCAATTAAGTGTCTTTATGGGCAGGAGTGGGCCACGGCTCCACAGAGATCGACCGAGATCCTTTTATGCGTTGCAATAAAATACTTGTTTACCCATGTAGCAACAACTTCATACAAAGGAGCCTCGGCTTTTCAGCACACACATACATAGATAGGTGGGTATATTCTATTTAGGGCTTGTCTGCGGGCATGGCTTGTTTATGCTTATTGTACGCATAAGTTTGTGCTATTTTATAGTTTTATGGCTTACACATGTCCAACGCATTCGTAGGTGGGCAGGCGTTGCCCAGTTTACGTTTATTGATTTTAAGTGTGAGTTTATGTTGTCTCCCGGACATGCCGGACGCACGGACGCACGGACAATCTGGGGCCGATGAGTGCAGCGTGTCCATAAACATAGAATGATTCGAATGCAACGCTTCGCATCCCATTCGTTCGGCATGTCAAGTTCATAAGCAGCGCACACAATTAACATGCCCCGGCGAGCGCAGAGTGAAAAGGAGTCAAGTGGTGCCACGCTGTGCCCGGTAATGAAAGGAATCAGACGTGGGCTTTCATGCCACTTGGCCAGCATAACAAAAGCAGCGTTCAGATTAACGCAAATCAAGCAACAGGCGGGCATATTTAGACCCGTTCCACTTTTATGAGAAACAACAACAACAACGACACATTAAGTCTTTGACTCGGACTATGGAAGCAATCTAAAGGTACTTAAATGGTTCAATGTAATTAACTAATAAATAAAACCAACGAATCTAAGGCTACTAAACTGATTTCATATAATCTACAGGTACTTGCATTATTTAAAATAATTTGCTGTAATAAAATATCAATGAATCTTAGACTACTAAAGTGATTTAATATATCTTAGTAATATTAATAAAAATGTAATATAAAATATTTCATATGTGCTAATATATCAAATATAAATTTGTTATACTGGAATAAATTAAATTAAATTAAAACAAAAATATTTATTTATTATTTTTTTTTTAAATGATTGATATTTGTTTAAACAAGATAAGAACTAAGATATTTAGCATGAAAGTAAAAACTTTAATTAGGCCCATATTTAATCAATTTGCAAAAAGAAAAAAAAAAAAATTAAAAATTAAATTAAATTAAAATTTTTTAAATTAAATTAAAAAAATTTTAAAAAAATAAAATTAATTATAATACATATAAAATTATCTTAAATTTTCCTAATACTTCTAAAAAATAATTGTCTATATTTAAAACATTTATCATATTCAGCCAGTTCAGTTATGAGCATAAAGACAGTTTAAAGCAATTCGGTAATAATTGTGATAAATAAATTCGAAACACGAAATGTGTCTAAAAAGACTATTTAATTGAACTATATAATGTATTCCTCAATGCTGGAAGATATTTGTTTCAAAAATTGAGGTGGGAATAACTTTTTTTTACAAGGAAATAAATGAAGCTTATTAATTATTTGCAATTGATAGATAAACTAAACTAAGATATTTTATACAAAATTAATTAAAAAAAAAAATTATAATTTACAATTTATTGCTTTTGCCAATCTTTTCTATTTTATATTAAAGATCTTAATAAAACAAGCAGACTCAATTTCAATGATTGATAAGCATTTCTAAAACATCGCGTTTGACTCTCTCACTCTCTGCCTCTCTCTCTCTCTCTCTCTCTCTCTCTCTCTCTCTCTCGCTCCGACACGCTTTCTGACTCACTAATTTCTCTAGAAGGCAGATAAGAACTATATTCTATATGAAAGAAATTGTATACAGATACAAATCTTGCACTCTTGGCCTTTTCTAATCTCCCATAGAAAACTAATCAAATTTTCCACTGCTAATCAAATTCACTGCTTAAATATTTGAATTATTTCAAAAGGAAATAACAACAACAACAGCAGCAGCAAAATATTGCCAATAAACTGCATTGGTTTTGCCCATATATCAAGTCATTGTTTATGAGTCATAGCAGGGCATAAGCAAAAAGCCAAAGACCAACAGAATCACATCACGGGGCGTATGCGTAATTTCATGAAGCATTTCGCTGTTTGCTTTTACAGTTGTGCTGCTCGCTGGAACAGCCAGAGCTGGTTCTGATCTGCGCCGGTGACAGAAGCGCCGCAAATTCACGTCACATGGCGAGTCAGTTGGCACTTTATGGGCCGCCTTTATCTGCGCTGTCATTTATGGTTATTTAAAAGCGTTAGTTATCATTGTTGTTATGGCTCTTGTTGTCGTTGGTTGTTGTTCTCTGGCTGTTGCTGTTGCTGTTGCTCGTTTCGAGAGTTGAGCGTGCACAAAAACAAAAATACAAATAAAAAAAAAGTTGTTTTCACCTTTTACGCTTAACTCGTTTAGAAATTAATGCGAATTCGATTTTGAAATGTGTTTGTCGAGTTTTGACGATTTTGAGTCACAGCAAATTTCGCAAGAATCCGCACTGATGTGCAATGCCTGAAGATAGAGCGAAAGAGATAAGCAAAGGGGGAGAGCGAGAGGGAGACAGCATTTATGTGCACATATCGTAGCGTGTTTAGCAAACAGTTGGAGAGCAACAACAACAGCAACAGCAACAGAAGCCACAGCAACAGCAACTGTCGTCGGCATTGGCACTGCATATTTGCATAAGAATTAGAAAACCCGCGGCGCGACAACGCAAGGCACGCAGAAATCTTGTATATGGCATGGGGCGGCCATATAAAGTCGCCGGCACACCAAAATAACTCCCGTGTCTACACCTTCAATAGAAGCAGCAGCAGCAGCAGCAGCGGCAGCCGACGACACGAACAGCAACAAACTGGCCCATCAATGTTGCTAGCAGCAACAGCAACAGCAACAGAAGCAGCAGCAACAACAAGAGCAACAACAACAACACAAATGGCAACATTAGCGCAAATTTCAACGGAGCACAATTTGAATTTGATTTTGTTGTGCGACACACACACACACACACAGATGCGAAACACGTTTCTTGTATATATTTATTTCGTTTCGGTTTTTTGGGCATTTTTATATATGCATACATATATATATGTATATATGTATTGAAAGAAAACAAATAACAAAACGAGACACTCCAGAGCGTCAGACACATTACATTAGCCAGGTCTATCGCGCCTCTGGTCCGCGGTCTCGGCCTGGCCAATGACTTCGAAAACATGTGTTGATTAACATAAATGATTTCTGTCTGCCTCACAGCACGTTGTTGTTGCTCTGTGTTGCTTGTCATCTGCTGCTGCTGCCGTCTTGACTCTATGTAAAATTGTAAAATAATATATAGATATTCATATGTATATATTTAATTTGTTTGTTTTTTTTTTGGTGTCAAAATGCGAATAGCTACGTTTTGACATCAGGCCTTTGGCATCTGGCATCTGGCAAATATTTATTGATTTCATTTGGCATATTTGTTCATCTTGTTTCATTTCGTATTAAACTCTGCTAAGCAATGAAATCATTTGTGCTTACCTTTTTTGGCTGCAATTTTCATGCAAATCTATCGAGAGCTATCCAAAGCTGCAAAGAGAAAGGTAAAGTTTTGTTGGTTAAAAGTGAATAGCCCAACATTTAGATATATGATTATTTGGTATTTGTGAGATTCTACGACATTTCTTGACGAGCTTCGCTAGAAATCTGAAAATCGACGGCAATAAACTATTGATAAGCAGTTGGCTATAAATCTTGGTAGGTGTTGTCTAGTACAACGACTCGCGAAATCAGTATGCAACGCATGCTGGACAGTGTCTGTTGATGATTGGCCAGGCCAGGCTGATTGGTTATGCATTTAGGCAATGATGTATGTATGTATACGGAACAGCAGCTGGCCAGAGATGATTGCCGAATGTATCATCCAGCTTGCAGAGCAGCTAGCTAGCTCAAGTTTTAGCAATTCAATCAGATGACATTGGCTCAGTCAACGGAACCAGACGTCATTTGAAATACAAATCGCTACACGTAGCACATCAGGTTTCGCCATGGCCACCGGACTCTAGCACACTCGGACAGGCAGACAGACAGACAGTTCGCTTCTCAGTCTGTCCGCTAGTCACTTAAAGCTGTAGAATTTCTAAACTGGTTGAGCAACAACAAAAGGCCGCCGGACCGAGTGTTCGTTATACCAACTGCAAGTATAACAAATTCCAGTAGGTGCTGAACTGTTTTTACTTTCAAATGCCGCGCATATTTCACAGCTCGGTGGTGCGGTGGTGCGATGGTGCGATGGTCAATGGCCAGCAGCTCCGGATAACAATTTGCGTGTGTTAATTGAGACTAAACAGCAGCCGGTAGAGGCGAGTTGAGGTAGAGGCGGCCCTAGCGCTTTGATTAATTATGGACGGCCTGTCATAATTTACATTGCAACGAAAGTGATGGACTCGACGGACTGACAGCTGCCACTGTTAATTTGCTGTAATTGCGCTGCCTAGGCAAATGCATGCAACGGGGTGACACATGCGGCCGCATGGCATGCAAGAATTCAATTAGGCATTGAGAAATACATATGCCATATAGCTACACTATATATATATAAATGAATATATCCGTTGCACAATGTGTTCAGTTTGTCTCACAGAAAATGAAAGCTGCTTCGTTTTCCCAGTGTTATTGTAACCCAGAAAAATATTTCGGTGCGGCACTTGAGGCGTTTGGCCAAACAGTTGACAAATCATCATCAGATTTACTTTTCAAGAATTAATCCGCCAGCGCTGCGAATAACGCCAACTCATGGCCTAATCAAAAGTAAGAGTAAAGCAACTGTTAATAACCAGCCAGCGTCGAGCATCATCGTAAACAAACGCAAACACAACAAGTATAAATACAATCAACAATGAAAACAAATGATTGTGGCCTGAGCATTAACCCATATTTATTTTAGCGTGAGTGAGAGGGGAAGAGGGGGTCAGAGAGGGGAATAGAAAAGTTGCTTGCGTGCCTGCAACTTATTGATCAGCGCCACGTGATTGAATCAGCAGCAGGAGCAGCAGCAGCAGTTGCAACTACTGACACACCTCTAGTTGCAGACGAGAGAAAGAGGCAAAGGCAGCAACAGCAACTGTTGCAATAATGAGCAACTGCCAGGTAGATAAGCCAATTGTGTGGGTGCCACAGTTGCTGGAGCCACCTGCATGGCAAATTTGAAAGCCTGCCAATCAGCTGAGACTCCGACTGGGTCTTGCTCTAACAATACTTCTGCCACAGACGGCGGCACAGCGTGCGACTGCCAAAATATTGTGTGCACACGATTTTGTTATGCATTTCAAATGCAAATTGGTTTTGAAAGGTAATTGATCCCAGTCCGCAGAATAATTCTCTCAGTGTGTTGACTTTCAAATGCAGCACAGGAAATACGACAAAGAAACCAAAAATACATACAAATAAATCGGAAAAAAAAATACCATGGCACACGATTTGTGAACTGATTTTGTATGCTGTCAGCAAATACGAAAAAAATGGAGAAAAAAGAAGAAAAAACAGAGTCAAACAATATTAAATAAACTCTGCACGAGCTGGGGCACATTTATAACTTTGAACTTGACGGGGCCCGCAGAGATCGCGAGTCGCTTTGAGGCCTTTTGCTCCACTGATATGACGGCGTTAATTGATTTTCGTTTTCATTAACATTTTCCAAGAGTTTCTTTTCGGTACGCTTCGTTGGGAAATTGAAGACTACTTATCGTCACACAGCGCAGACCCAGAAGAGGCCACCGCCTCCTGCTGTAGTTCTTTGTCGCCCGGGCCAGTTGGCTAATCGGGTTGAACGGTTCATTACGCATGCGCGCAAGCGTTACAAATTAACCCAGTTATTTATGATTATTTAGTATCTAATTTGGGCAGCAATGGAAAATGATTTATACACAAGTAGTATGGCAATGGAAAAGTTCTACGTTGTCCCTGAGGCCAAAGAGAGAGAGGGAGAGAGAGAGAGAGAGCAGTAGATGACCATCATGTAAATTGCATAATCATTGGGCAGCTGGGCAGCCGCTTGGCCGGTTACTCTCTTAAGGCCATAGATAGATGGATTCTGTTCTGCTGGCCGAAACTAGTTTCCCAGTCTGAAGTTCGACTACTTTGCTCTATTTTCCCCCTTGGTAATTGGCCGGGCAATTGCAATTTGCAATTGTGTTGCCATCTAGATGGATGCCTCAGTTTGATAATGGCCAATGCCAAGGCATGCAATTTTAACGGTTGCACGCTGACTGCTTCAATGTGAATGTGGGAGAAAGAGAACGAGAGAGTGAGAGAGAGAGGGAGAGAGAGAGAGCGCGGCAGCGATGCTAATGTGTCGATGATAATTCCCAGTAGCCAAACGGCTGCTGATGCTGCCATAAAGGGGGCAACAAACTGTGCCATGACTCAACTGCCGCCATAAAGGTGCAGCGGACACGTGCGCAGTGCCATTGGCAGGAGGCCTTGCGCTGAACTTGAATGGCTTTTGGCTTTTGGCTTTGAGCCTGGCATATACACACATGCATATATCAACGCATTTTATATACACGAGGAGTAAGCGCATTAAAGCAAGCAAATACGAAATTTATTGAACGCGCCAGAGGCGTCGTAAAATTAGCCAAAAACAAAGTGTTATGCGCGACAACTGTCAGCGACAATTAGGCGCATTTTGTTGTCGACGTTTACTTCAAGCCAAGCCACAACCCGCAGCCGAACAGGCGATTGCAATGAATTTCCCAAAAACGAAAATTGTGCAATAACAATTTGAGCTGCACAAAAAATGCGCCAGCGAGTGGCCAGTGCAACAGCAGCTAAACAAAGAGAGAGTGAGCGAGAGAGAGAGAGAGACTGCTGCAGTGTTAGCCTGATCAAGTGGCTGGCCAATGCGAGAGGTGGAGCAGAGGGAGGGGGGTCAGCTGTTATAGTGGTGGGTGGGTGTGGACAAAACATAGCACAGCTCGCAACGAATTTGTTTCACACAGTTCATTAAGGCGAACAAATAAATAAAGTTCAATTGTGAAATCGAACAGCCGATCGAAATTGTCAACACACAGCGAGTGCAACAACAACAACAACAACAACAACACTGACAATTCATAGCCCAAGCCTAATGAAGGTTAATGGACAGCCAAATGCAGGCAGCAACAAAATATAAATACATTTATATACATACATACATAGTCCCAAACTCAAATGAACGATGCTTCGTCAATGCTCGATTGGGGGCGAGGGGCGGGGGCAGTTGAGGGGCTGGCAATGCAAAATACACACACAGTTAATAAATCGATCGAATTTCATTAATTGTAAAACAAAACTGTAAACCAGATGAGCTGGCTCACATACATACACACAGATTTATATGTATGTATATGTGTATCTTGAGGAAGCGCAGACAACAATCATGCGGAAAATGCGGCAAGAGTTGCAGCTCTGCAACATGGCGACAACAGCATGCCAATGAAAGGCTGCTGCCTGTCTGCACAGAGAGAGAGTGAGAGAGAGAGACACACACACACACACACAGACATAGAGATGATGCGTGTGTTGCGCCATAGAAGCTGTTGCAGATACAGATACAGCAACAGCAACTGCAGCTTGAGCCATCGAGATATAGATACGCACTCACACTGTGTTGGACAGTGTGCTGGCATTGTTGATTGGTAGGCTGTTAGCTGGCGACGTTAATTTCACTTTAACAAACATTTCGCTTGTCTCCGACCGCAGCCGCAGCCGCAGCCGCAGCCGCAGCCTGCTATCCGCCGTTCGCCGTCCGTTGTCCGCTGTCCGTTGTCTGTTGTCTGCTGTCTGTGACAGATCATATAGAAATGTGTTGCATTTTTAATCAAAACGATCGATCAAACGGTAGTTTTATGTTTGCCTCCAACATGCCACACTAACGCACACACACACACACACACATATGCATATGTGCACATGCATTTATGTACGAAGCCCAAGATGTGTGTACGCGCACATATGGCGCTCACTGTGTGACGGTTAGCCCGTTTGTTTGTTTATTTGTTTGTCCCTCTGTTTATCTAACCGGCTTGCCTGTCTCTCTCTCTCTCTCTCTCTCTCTCCCCCCGTCTCTCTTTCAGTTGCGAATGCATTGCTTGACATACGATACCCTTCCTTCATTTGGCCTGCATCTGCGCCGGCAAGTTTGATCGATCGCTGTTGAAAATATAATTTGGCAGCGTTTGCCCAAGACCAAACGCCATTAGAGCCATTGGGTGGGTACACGCCTAGAAACGTCTCAATTACTTAGCCGCTTCGGCTTGGTAATCTGAGCATGCAGCTGCCCTGAAATAGATATTCGATTCGACTATTAGCTGCAACCTTTGCGACCTTTTGCGCTCTGACGGCATCTGCACATGCTCAACCTTGGCGCATTCAACCCTTGAGGCAACCTTGAAGTCGCAGCCAGCTTTAAAAGGCCATTAGCGCCTGCTCCAAAACCTTTTGGGCTGCCGCCGCCTGCCAGCCAGCCAGCCAGCCAACCCACTCGAGTCGAGTCGCGTGGAGTATTTACCAACATCATTACGATGAGGCTGCACATTTTCCAAAGAACTATTACGGCAACTAAACAAAATTATTCAAGGCATACAACACAGCACCGTGAGGCAGCAATGGGCATGACCCCGCGACGCAGACTCCCACCCACCATCAGCTGAGACAGACGCCGAGCAAACTTTGTTAGAAATACGCGCATAACAACAACAACAACAACAACAACAGCAACAAATATATCTGAACATTTCTAAGAAGTATTTAATGCCCTCACACGCCGACGCCAAACAGGCGGGGCATGTGAGTTGCTGTTGCTGTTGTTGTTGTTGTTGTGGCAAGACTTTGTAATTTCAAACTATGGCAGCGACTGAGTTGGAGGCAGAGACTGCAACTGCGACGGTGACTTCGACTGCGACTGCGACTGAGGCGCTCTGCTGTGGCAAGTGTGACTATTAAATTGGCGGCGGTAATTTTAGGTTATTTCTCTCTCTCTCTCTCTCGCTCTGTGTTGCAAGTTGCAAGCCCAAACTCAGACACAGCCACAGACGGCGAGTGCACGCAAAGTGACGTCGCCCGCAGCAGCCGCAGCAGCAGCAGCAGTGGAAACAACAACAAGAGCCTGGGCTTGGCTAGAGTCTGGACCACACAGCCAAGCCCGAGCCTCATTGCGTCGTCGATGCTTTGGGTTTGTTTGCCTTTACTGAAATTAACTCTGTTGTTGTGCCTCTGCGTGTTTTTTTGAAAGTCTTTATGTGTGTGTGTGTTTTTGATTACTTCAACTGAAATTATGCAATCGCCGAGGCTGCGTTGCACCCGCGGCACATATGAAAAGCGAGTCTGACAGCCGCTCTCTAGAGTCTCCCTCTCTCTCTCTCTCTCTCTCGCTCGCTCTCTCGATTCTCAATTGAATTTTTATGACGAACTTTTTATGAGGCTGACTCTGACAATCAGGCAGAGACGATGCCTGGTCAGTGGGCCACCCAGAGTTTAATTGGCCATCGATTGTATAATTAAAACAGGTCTTTTTCTCACAGAGAGCAGCCGTGGGGAGCATCACAGCAAATCTGCTTAGCGACCTACGCGCGACATTTCAGAATGCAAGAGATTGTCAGCTGAATCTATAGACCCGAAGCTGTAGCTGTAGCTGTAGCTATAACTGGGGGCCTGTCCAGCTGTCAGGCGATTGCCCACACGCTTCGCTGCACATGTAAAGCAGCTTTGGCGTCTGTCAGAGGCTGTTTATGTGTGCCGCCTAAAGCGGCTGCCAGCCAACCCAGCCCAGCCCGGCCCAGCCCGGCCCAGCCTAGCCAGTGTCATCTAGTGACAAATCAATAGCCAGAACGTAGGCCGATCCGCCTGCTCGGACAGCGCCCAGTCTCAATCCTGGCCAACAGCATGCATTTTAATATGCTGCTGACACTTTTAAATCTGTCACACACACACACACACACACACACACACAGTTCGATATAAGCTCCACAGTGCAGCATATCTCTAGCTGCTCGCAGCAGGCAATCATTTGATAGTGCAACATTATCCGAGAATCTCGAGTCGAGAATCTTGCGCGTGGGCCTACAGCTAATTAAACAACTTGTTTTCTTTTGGTGTTGCTTGCCAAAAATAGAGATAGAGAAATAGACAGCAACAACAACGGCAACAGAAACGAGAAACGATAAACGATTTCAGCCATTGCTCAACTTTGATGAGTTCAACCAAAAACTAAGACAGAAAAAAAAAACTTAGCTGAAACTAAGATGAAAGACGACCGCCTTGTGCTTCTTACAACTTAATGAGCTCACTTTAACAATATAATAATAGATTTTAAGAGCGGTAGCCATAAAAGGCGTACGTGAGTTAGGCTATCACAATTAATGCTAAGGTCAAGGACTGGGGCGAATTTCAAGCTAAAACCCCTAAAGGCAAATGGGTCAGCGCAGAGCTCTAGATTAAAATTGCCTTGAATTTTAATCAAAGCAGGTCTAGAATGAAAATGAGAATATGACAGCTGAACAATTTGAAGATGTGCGAAAAAATATGTATAATTATACTTAACTAAGAGAATGGAATTGTCGGGGCTAAACAACTGAGAGATACCCTGAGCGCGGCTCTGGTTCTGAGATAGACGCGATAGTGCGCTAGACCGAACGATATCTATTTAAGTATGCGTATCATTTATGGGGTCTACCCTGTTTCCATCTGCTTTTTATTTTCCCATTAAAAATTTTAAATAAATATGAAATATGAAAATGTAATTTTAATCTTCAAATTTCTTTGTGATTAAATATAATATATATTTATTTAGTAATATTTCATATTAATAACATGTATAACAAATTTATATTATACTAAATAATACAAATATATGTATTCTTATTTTATTTAATTTTTTTTGGATTCAATATTATTTATTATTATTATATATTTATTTATTATTTTTAAAATGTTTTTTTATTTATTTAAATTTATTTTAATATTTATAAAAATATATATTATTATAAAATAAATAACAGGAGCTGACCTCTATGTACTTATATGCCTAATAAAAAGCATTCACTATTTTGTTTACAATAGTCTTTGAAGATTCGTATACCTCGCGCTTTATTATTTTATTTCTTTTATTTGTTTTAATTAACATTCATCTCCAAGTTCTACTCTGTCGAAATAATTGGCCATATACATACATACATATATGAGCGACCCTCACAAAATTAGTTTGATGGCGAGATTGAGATTCGAGCCGGGCAAGATCATGAGCCAGCTCCATGTCGAGATTTAAATGCATGGCTAATCAGAAGAGAATCATTTGATTAACATTTTATACGAGCGAGCCTGCTGCTTTCGTTTCAATTGCGCATTCTGAATTTATTAGTGAGCTGCAAGAGTCGAATGGCAAATCTAATTTATGCCATTTTTAGAAGCCTGACACAAAACAAAGCCACAAGACCTGAGGACGAGTAGACGGATGGATGGATGGATGGACGCATGGACTCTGCGGGCCACAGCCAACTCCTATGCCAATGCCAATGGCAACGGCTGCAATTCTTTCGATTGCAAATGCGAAAGACGAATGCAAATTTGTGTCTTGTCTCGAGCCATTTGAACTTTTTGCTCCGATACAAAGTTGCTGATGCTGCTCCTGCTGCAACTGCTGCTGCTGGTGATGCGCAGGACGCTGTTGTCAGCCACTCAGCAGCACTCTGAATGGGCACAAGCCAAAAACAGAAACTGATCTCGGACTTTGAATCTGGCAATGCGCTGCCAGAGCCGACGACTTTGCGGCTTATCTTGTCACACAGCCATAGAACTAGATACAGATGCAGATACAGCCGCCGCATCCGCTCTGCTCGGGTGACGAATTGGCGTTTGTTTTGGGGCGAGCTCATGGTAAGGAAGGCAAATAGAAACGAGAGAGAGAGAGAGAGAGAATGCTACGAAAGATTGGCTGGCTGGCTGACCGAGTCCATGTTGATACATTGTTGGAGGAAGTGATCTCATCGTAAATTACAAATTACACAAAGTCACGATATCAATTTCAGATTCCCTCGTGTAGTCGTCGTCGTTGTTGTTGTTGTTGTTGTTGCTGCTGCTGTTTGTTGTTATAATTAAATTGTCGCTCTTTTCTATTCACGTTGCTTTGTTAGTTGGTTTTTGTTTTATTTTGCTTATTTTATTTTTTGTTTTTCGAATTTGGCTTACTGCGTACAAGAAAGGAAAAACCAAAATAAATTTTTTGCCGTGGGAATTGATTAATGTATTTAAATTTGAATTGATTGAGCTTAGCAGCGGCTTCACAACCCCAAAAAAAAAACGCCGAATCGAGTTAATTGAAATGGGAATTCTAAAGTCAGACAAAATTTACATATTTCGAAACAACAAAAGTCTTTGACTGAGGGTCAATACACCTACACCAGACAACAAGTTTCGGTTACTTTGCTACCCATTGGCAGCGAGAACAAGTTCATTAGGAGCAGCGTTCTTATGTCTTAGATCTGTGAGCTGTTGCCGCTGTTGCTGCCGTCAGAATGGGTATAGTCTCTGGCGAAAGGTGACCCACATGCCGGTGAAAGCCTCGGCATTAAGGCAAAGCGCCTTTAATCAGGCGAACGGCGCGGCCTTTGCCTAAATTTTCAATGAAAAATTCCCGGAAAGTGCATGGTCATGGCATCAACTGAAACGCTAATAACTAACTCTGACCCATATTTGTTGTGCATGTGTGTGTGTGCCTGTGTTGATCTCACCCACACACACACACAGAGAGAGAATTTTAATTGAAATTGAATTTACTGGCAACAACATCAAACAGCTGATAGATTTTCCAGGCAATTTCTCGTTCTCGAGATCTGGCTTTTGCAATCGTTGAACTAGTTAGACATTTCCTGGTGCCGGAACCAGTTCGCTGTGCGAACGGTTATTGGCCTTTCGCCGCTGGCATTTACGCAACCGCCGAGCAAACAAACAATCATCGACGCATATAACCATAACAAAACACACTTATCATCCGTCCAGCAAACGCACCACCACACAGTTGACAGTTGATCGGCTTCCGCATCTTTTCCATTAATCATACTGAATGCATTACGCACGTGTTTTGCCTCTGATCTCTTTGTCTGCGTCTGTTGACATTTGGCTAAGTGCACAAAAGGCTTTAATCGTGTGCGGCCCTTAAAAGCCGCATTGCCAAATATTATATTGAATATGCATAGCTTGAGCAAATATTATTGATAAACATTGCATGCAATTGCATTGCATGCCGCGTTGCCTAATTAATAAGGCAAATATTTTGCTATTTGCGGTGCGCATAAAAGCCAAAAGCAAAAAGCAAGCTTATGCAACATGCTGCAACAACGCCAACAACAGCAACAACAACAACAACTGTCATAAATTTACACATTGTCATGTGCGCAGCTATTCGTTGCTGTTGCTGTTGCAGTTGCCAATTTTCTAACAACGAAAATTTGTAAAATATTTGCATGCACAAGTGTTTCGCTCTCCGCCTTTTGGGCCAGGCACTTATCTGTGGCATGTCAGGGGTATGTCATTTGGCTTACTTGTAGGTGGCAGGCCTCAAGATAATGTGCGCGGCAAGCCATGTATGCGCTGTATACCCTGTCTGAGAGCAGATAATGCCGAGGAGGGGGACAAAGTTTGGCTGCCATCTCTTAGGGTAGGCAGAAATGCTCATTTCACAGTTTGAGTTCGAGTTATGTCACCGGCTGGGCATGGCCTGCACCTGGACGGTCCGCGACAGCGCTTTTGACGTGTTGCAGACATGACAACAACAACAACAACAATGGTCAGCTGCACTTGTTGTTGACGCGGCGTGTAATGCGAGACGACGCGTCGAGCGGTTTTCAGATTGCAAACTGCGGCGACGACGGCTGCGGCTGCCGCTGCTGCTGCTGCTGCAGCATTTTGCATAGTTTTCGCTTAAGGTTTGGCTGCTGACCTTCGGTGTTTTGTAACTATGATCATTTACATGGTGACAAGCACAACAAAACAGCAAACAGCAACAGGTATGCGACCATCCTGGGCACACACACACACACACACACACACAGACGGCCAGGGACAAGGTCAACTGCATATAAAAGCGCTGGCCTTTTTATGTGCATTACAAATCAATATAAATCGAAGAGTTATAAAAAGCTGAGCAGACCATAAATAAAAGCCAATACAATGAAATGTCTCAAGATGCCACCAACAGCAGAGGCCGCAAACTGGAATCGTTCGGGTGAATGGCTGGCTGGCTGGCTGGCTGGCGGGCTGGCAGTTGCAGTTGCTGCCTTGGGAGATGGGAGGCTGCTGTGGCTGCTGGCTGCTGTGGGGCCAACGCATTGATAACTGCAGCAAAGGCGACGGCAGCAAGATGTGCTCGCCAGGCACATAAATCTTTTCACACCCAGCCGCTGCCTGCCCAACCAGCTGCAACAGCAGCAACAGCAACAGCAGCAGCAGCAGCATCAGCTCCAGCTCTGTGCTTAGTATCTGTGCAAAGTGCATGTAGTTTTGAAATTTGAGCTACGCATGCGACGTTCAAGCAGCTAATTACTAGACCAAACTCCAAGCTGGCAAACAATTCTGAAAAAGTTCCACGTAGTGTGATTATCGTAGCTCATAATTTACAAAAAGCAACAACAACAACGTCAATAGGAGTAGCAACAGCCGCAGCAACAACAACAACATTAAGAGATATTTTCTGGTTTTTTAATTGGCAAAAACGAAGCGGCATGATATCATATTGTGTATATACTATATGCAGTAATAATTTATTTTTAGCCAAATTGACAGCAGTTGAGCGAAGTCAAAAAAGCAAAAGCGCAGATAAAATTGTTTAGTTAAGAATAACAGAGACACAGTACGAGAGACAGAGAGTTCGAGAGAGAGAGAGAGAGATAGATACTCAACGAGTGCCTGCTCAAGCAAATAATCGGGTTCTGATTTGACTTAACTTATCAATTGGAAGGCATATCATATAGCTAATTTGTAGCCTGGTGTGAATGATTGCCCACACAGTTCAAGGCTCAATGTCGTAAAGAGGAAACAACAACAACAATAACAAATGCCAATGAACATTTTATAGCTGCAATAACGTACAACAACAACAACAAACACAAATAAGTAATTGCCCACAGTCCATAATCAATTTCACAGATTTTACTGTGCATTTTACATTGCATTAAAGTTTTTTTTTTTTAGAAATCTTCGAATGTTATTCGAATTATGTGCAAACTCACCGATCATTCACTTGATTGGCTTCGTACAGCGTACCACGTTGCGTATGATTGACAATCGCCCAGGGCGCAGCACGCACAGCACTGAAGAAATGAACGGAAACCTAAACACAACTGGACGCCTGCTGTAGAAATGAAATGCACCTTAATCCATGGATGAAACGCTACGAATCTGTAATGAAACCAACAGCGAAAACAACAATGAAAATTAATTGTAAATTGTTCAGACGGTGTTTTTTTTTTTTTTTTCGTTTTCAGCTAACCCGCCTTCGTCTCGAAAAGATCGAAAAATAAAAGCAAATAATGTTTACAATGTTTGCTATTTTTTGTTTAGGCGAGGGAACAGGCGGCGTATGCGCTATTTGTGCAACAACAACAACAACAACAACGGCAACTACAGCTACTCTGTTGCAAGCTTTTGTACGTATTTGAAAACGCATCGTGTCGTACGGCAATCAACGCGCACAGCTGGAAGTTTCTTAGTTTGTTTATACCGAAAGCAAAACGGCAAAGAGGAAGAAAGTGCCTGTGAAATATTTTTGTTAACTTTTTTTTAACTAGCTAAATTAACTTATATATCAATGTAAAATTTAAATAAAATTCAAGAATACAACTATCATTTTCATTTAACAATTTTTTATAATAAATGAAAACTCTTTTCATTGTTCAATATTTTAAAGCTGAGTATTTGCTAGTCGAGCAGTCTCGCACACAATCTCTTGCCGAAACTTTCGTATTGCTGCAAGCAGTAACAAATTACTTGAAAGTCAAATAAACAATTATATTAAACACATAACATAGCATTCCACACAAGAATTTGATGATTGGCTTATGGTTTTTATTAGAAATCAAATGCTAATAATCACAAATTAAACTTTAGTTATTTTTTTAGACGATACAACTTGTTATGGCATGCTAAATGGCATATGTTTTATATTATTTTAATTAGTTATTTAATGGGAAATAATAATAATAGATAAAATAATTATAGTAAATACAATTTAATGGGTAGATAATTACTTTAACAAATATATATATATTTAGAATTTAGTATTAAATAATATTAGTATATAATTATTCATTATTATATATTATTAATATATATATATATATTTATAATAATAAATAATTAAACACTAATAATAGTTAATAAAGAATTCTACTTCATAGCTCAAACATATATAGTTATATATTAATATATAAATATTTTTAACCGTTTATAGTCTAAAGCTTTATCTGCTCTATAAAGTAGAATTCCTTATAACATATTATTAAATAATTAAAATAATATTATTAAATAAAAAATATAAAATAGATATAAAATTTAACTAAAACCATTTATATTTATTTAATAAACTAATATATTATTTTCTATATTATATATTATTGTGAATAAACAATATATATATATATATATATATATATATATATATATATATATATATACATAGTATTTGGTATTTATATACAATATATATTATTTGAATGGCCAGCAGGTCAACTTTGATAACGAGAGCTTTAGGCTCAGCTTATCAGTGAGATTCGCGTTTAGTTCTTGTTCAACCAGCTCTGTGTACGGAGGCAACTGAGATGAGAGCAGCTTACTCGGTTGCTTTAGTACTTTTGGTGTTTATGCAGGGCGTGGACAGAGGCGTATTACTTACCCTGCCAAATGGCATTGACAAGGTGCAGATCAGTCCGCGACTGCTCTATAGAAAACTAGACGGACAGTCGATGGCCAGGCGGAATGCAGTCGACCTGGCACGCAAGCTGCTGATTAAGCTGAATTTGGAGCACATGATATACAATCTGAATCAGGCAAAGATTATGGAGAACAATAAACTGCTCATCGAAATGCAAACATATTTGCAGGCGCTCGCAGTGGTCAAGGCGTGGAATAGGCAGGTCCTTGAGAACGACTCGAGTTGTGGCCCAGTTTGTGTGAACAGCGATTACGAGCTGGTTCAAACTGAGATGAACTTTTTCAATTCCAATGACATTCAATATAGAACTAACAAGTGAAATGTAACCCAAAATACATATTTAATAAAAACACGAATATGGAAATTCTAGTGAACTTACAATCAAACGAATTGGCACTCGATACATATATAAAATTTGATATATACATATATATGTATATTTGGGAGATTATTTTTTGAGTGTTGTTTATCTTATCGCCATTTGCGTCAGATAAAAACTCCATTCATATGTATGTGCATGCGTATGTGTTTATTTGCGCATGTATTTGTATACCTATCAGCAATATTTATATTTATTTATTTAACAAACACTCAGTCATCCAATAGCAGCATATATTATTGAGAATCATACCTGAATACGGACTGCAGCCGTTAAGTATTTACAATTAATCATTCTTGTTATTTGGAATATATTTATATGTTTGGAGAGGGGAGACGACGTCGACGACGATGATGATGATATCGTATACGAGCACCCACATTTGTGTGCGCATTCGCGAATGAAATGGAATACAGTCGCCACGATATGAAATTCAATATAGCAGCTTTATATAGACTTTATGAGTAATGCAATTCTACAGCCCTGACTTAATTTGCAGCGTCTCTTTTTACTTTGAAAGTTGCAACGAAAACAGAATTCACACGCTTGGCCAGTCAACAATGTGGCAACATCAACAGCAGCGACAGCAACAACAACAGCAACAACAGCAACGAACAAACAAACAACAGCCAACCCATTTTCAACGGCACTTGGCTTTGGTTTTCAATGTCAAGCTCTAGCCAAACACTCTGAAAAAGAACGAGAGAGACACAATAGAGTGAGAGAGAGAGGAACTGAAAGAGAGAACTTTGGATACACAATCGATTGTTGTCCCACAATAAATCACTAATGGCATCGAGCATATCTGTCTGTTTAAGGCGCCATAAATTCTTGAAAGCCAAAATCCAAAACACCGAAAGGTTCTAACACCTATACCAAAAGAAAAAAATAAAAAGAGAGAGAGAGAAAAAATAAATAAATACTACATTTAGCTCTGCCATGGACTGCAATCGACGGCATTCATAATTTATGCGATCTGCTGGCTGGCAAGCACAGCTCTTTGATATCAAATTGTTGTTGCCGCCACATGAGTTATAGCACCTTATATCCGCCGACCAAAATTATCTTGCATTCTAAGTCCCAGATTTGTGTTGTTGCTGTTGGCAGCGCGCCATTTCCTGTCTTGGGCAACGCAATTAAACCTATATGGAGATATCCTCTATGTGGTCAAAGCTTTTACGAAATCTGTATAACTGATTTTTGTAATTTATAAATCAAACTCACCATTCAAGCGCATTTCACTTGCATAAATAACTTTGAATTTACATTTAAACTATTGTAATTACAATAGCAAAACAAAAGTCTAACAAATCACTGAGATTAGCTCACCGTGTGCGCATTAACATTTGAATGGAATCGAAATCTGTGGCTTAGCTGCTGATAATCGAAAGCAAATTGAATTAATAATAACGAACCAATAGCTGTCGGCCGGCCGAAAATAAATTTGAATTATTGTATTGGGAAAATTGTCATAATTTCAACTAATGTGCCACGAGAGCGGCTTGTCACATTGCGTATACGCCGCGTTGCGCTTTCCAGTCGCAGCAGCAGTCGTTGACACTCGCTCTCGTGTTGTTGTTGCTGTTGTTTGTTGTTTTTTTGTGCACGTTATCGAAAAGAAATTTGTTGTACGCATTTTGCTTAGAGACTTTTTGTCTTTTTTTTTTATTTTTTTTGTGCATGCCAAGCGCGCTTGTCAAATAAAATGTAAAGTTTATGTGACAGTTTGACGATTAAAAAAATGCTTTGAAAACTGCGTTTTGATGTCAACGGGCAGCCAAAAGAGATTAGAAATTGACGGCAGCCAACAACAACAAAAAAAAAAAAAAAAACCCCAAAATATTAAAAGCCAACAACGAAAATTATATTTAAATGTAAATTAACCGAGCCAAAAATTACCAAATATAAGTTATTTTTGTGTTTTAAGCAGTGAAAGTATTAGTTTGCCGCTGAGCAGAGTGGGTGCGAACTAGGGCTTAGGCACGAATCGAAATAAATTAAGCGGCGCATAATTAAAGCATTATTTATGGGCTCGCTATGCAAAGAAAAGAGCTGAAAGAGCATGCGAGACATCTATCAACACTAGAGAAATTAAAAAACAAAATATAATAATAATAATAATAATAAAATTGTTACCCCTGACACAGTGCGAGGTTTTCCGCTGCTTCTATTGTTGCGTGGCCTGACGCAACTTATGCAGGTAGCTCAGCTCAATTACAGACCATATCACATGAGGGTATAAAGAGAGAGAGAGAGAGAGAGAGAGAGAGAGAGAGAGAGAGAGAGAGAGGGATGCATATATAAACTGAAAACATTTCAACTAAGCATGCCAAAAATGCCTAGCTCAAGTGCTCGAGCGACGCGCGAGTGCCAGCAAAATAAAAATAAATTAAAATTGAAGCAATTAAAATACGACCCCAACCAGCAGCAGCAGCAACAACAGCAGCAGCAACAACAACCACCAGCAACTGACATGACAATTGCGCTGTGATACCCATTCCCATTCCCACTCGCATTCCCATTCCCATTACCATTCCCGTTGCCTTTCCCATTCTGGTTTCCATTAAGCGTGCTCGCTGAAATTACCACCATGATCGTCGTTCAACAATTCCTTTACAGCTGTGTCGCTGCTCAAACATTCATTTCGTGTGCCCAGCGCAGCAACAACAAAAACTCATTGCAAACAAAATGATCGACGATAATGCGGTCCAGACGACGACGACGACGGCGACGACGATGAGGACAAAACAATGTTTGGCAGCCCCGCATTTAGCGACAATTAAGAAATCAAACCTGGCCTGCGCTTTGCAATTGTAATGGAAACCGCTTGCCAGGAGCTGGCAGCAGCAGCAGCAGCAGCAGTAGCTCCCCCCGCCCAGGAGGGGGCCTGACAGCCTCTGGTTTGGAGCGCATTTCAGCTTTCCACTCTAATGCAAATGTGCAATTAAATTGTTGACGTCGCCTGTCGTTTGCTGCTAATCAAAATTGTACGATCATAGGACATGGTCCATAGACCCGATCAGACCGAACCAGCCCCAGCCAGACCCATGCCGCACAGCTGCGGTAGCTATGCGAGCGTAACGGCAACGT